AATAAATTGAAAAATTATTTGTAAATTTAATTTTTTACGTTGTTAAGTTTATTTGTTTATGTCATGAAATTCACCTATTCAAGATTGTTTATTTTCAGGTACAATTTTTCTTTTTTCAATTTTTTACAGATTTAAATTGTTGACATGTCTCGGCAGGATTTTGCATTAACGTTTACAAATTTTAAGATTAAATGATGAGCATATTAAGCTGATGAAACTTTTTTAAATAGATGACGAGAAGATCTCAACAAGATCTTTCAAAATGTTCATTCAAAACATTTGCAGAATTTTTTCAATTCTTAGTGACCTTAGGGAACCTTATGAATTGTTTCTTAGAAAGTAAATTTAATTAAATTTCGTAACATGTCTTCAACTAAGCCAACATTAAAACTGGATGTGTATGGTTCAATCGACGTAAATCCTGAAGAAGCGTCATCGTACTTTAAATATAAATTGCAAACTGACGATCATAAGTGAGTTATGATTGAATAATGAATTTCTTTCACTTCATACTTAAAAATTGACTTTTCCTCAAATTTAAGTAAAAAATTTTTCTGGGATGTTCCGCATCAATTGCCTTCAGATGAAATCATTGGAACTGATCGCAATCCCATTCAAACTTCTATTCAGGAAAAAGTAAATGACAAAATAATTAAAGACATTCACATTGCGCAATTGGAGCTACGAGAAAAAATCATTCAATATAATGAATTCATTAAGAAACTCGATGAAATAAGTTTTCCCATAAAATCAAAAATTGAAGACGATCTAAAGCAACAAGATATCTTTGATAAGGAGATCGACGAAAATTCAAGAATAATCAACAAGTCGATTCCATTTGTAGAAAAATTCAAGGGACTTGTTAAAGATTTTGAGCAGTTCGAGAAAGTTTTCAACGAAGTTGATGATAATTCTGATACTTATTCAACTATTGATGATTTTATAAGCAAAACCGACGCCATAAGTAAAAGGAAAACTTTAATTGACTTTAATCCTCCTTAAAAATTTCCATTTTTTTCTATTCAGTTCTCGGTCAGATGGAAATAGTGGAACATGAACAGAAACTTATTAAAAACAATGATTTAATTAGACAGAAAATATTCAAATCTACGTTTGAAACAGCACAAAAAATCAATGAAATCTACACTAATTTGGATTCGATGGAGGTGAGAAGTTTGTTAATAATTCAAACAGTTGATACAATTTAAAGCAAGGACATATATTTATAGTTTGTTTAATATTTGTTATTCTAGCGAGCTTATAAAACCACGAAAGCTAGAACAGTAAATTTGGAAACAACATTAATAAAAACCAGAGAATACNTGAATATTCCTTTCTATAATTAGAAAAAAAAATTTTTATCGAGGCAATGGAATAATGCGTGTGGAGAGAGTAACGAAAACTACATTAAGTTTCATTTTCTCCGAAACTAAATAAACAATCTGTGCCAATATTTTCGGAAATGTAACTTAGGATTAAGTTCTAAATTGTGGCGTACTTAGATTTTCATGCTCAAAGGGAAAAAAAATTTTAATTGCGATTTTAAAACCTGTAAAAAGAGTAACGAAAAACGTTCCTAATTTCCAAAATGTATGCATTTCTTAAGGAAATCTGAAATATTTTCACTTTTTTTCTCATAAAAACTATTAAATTTAAAGAAAAACTGAGTAAAATGAATAAATTTCAAAGGAATTTTAGAAAACTGGGAGTAATGCAGTGCTAGTGCGGTGCAAACCTGAAAATATGAAATTTGTATGAGAACACAACAAAACATCAAAAAAAATATTATTTTGAAGCAATGATATTTTGATCCATTTTTCAATAAAATAATGTTACAAATGATCAAAAATGATGAAAAAAGTGCTTCATTTAAACTTTAAGCACATTTTCAAAAATTCGCTCTTGAGCTTTCTCAGTGTAGGCAGACATCTAAATTTTTCAAAAGTAGTTGATGGAAAATTCTACAATTTTCAGAAGTTGTTTTGCAACTATTCAAGATTATTCTCTGAAAATTTCATTGAATTCGAACGACAACTTTGCCCTCACCATTGATTAGAAATTCATTCCCCAAAATACAAGATTTATGCGTGGGGAGAGTAACGCTAGTGTTTAGGGAAAATTAATGGTGAGGGCAAAATTGTGGCTCAAATTCAATGAAACTTTCAGAAAATTATCTTGAATAGTTCCACATGAACTTCTGAAAGTTGTAGAATTTTTGATCGATTACTTTTAGAAATTTTTGATGTCAAACTTTGCATACCAAAAACATGTTTCCAAAAGTGTGGAGAGATTAACGACACTTTGAAATTCGCTCCTCGGCAAACCGCTTGACTTTTTCAACCGCTGTCTTTTTCTAAAATTAATACTCTATAAACTTTATTTACAAAATTAAAAGCGCCGAGATATCATGCGTAGTTTTGAAAATATTCAGCTTTGAAGTTTTAAAAACGTGGGATATTAACGATAGAACTCACCATATATTTATAGTTTGTTTAATATTTGTTATTCTAGCGAGCTTATAAAACCACGAAAGCTAGAACAGTAAATTTGGAAACAACATTATTGAAAGCCAGAGAATACATTAGAGAAAACGATAAGGAGACCATCACTCTTATGGATTCAATTCAACATTTATATCTTTTAATGAAAGAGAAAAATCACGAAAAGGTTGAATTGAAGCAATATGACATTAGTGGACAGCTAAATTATATTCGAGAAGAACTTGAAGTTGTGGAAGATGTTATTAGGAATGTTCGAATTAATTCTGCAAAACATTCGAATCTCAAATCTTAATGATAAATTCTTAAAATGTTAATCAATAATATTTACCAATTGAAGACTTTCGATGATTTATTTGGACGTTAATCAGATGATGAAGCATTAGTGATCAGGTTGGCAATCATTATTGTAGTAAATTATTTAAATTGTGAAATGAGAAATACAGGAAGAAGAAAGAAACAGTTCGCGAGAATCTCTCGTGGCTGGAATAATCTTGGGAATAATTGAAGCAATAAAACCCGATAAGAAATTTCATTTGTCATCTTCAAATCTTAATGTTTATATTGATGAAACAAAATCTTCATTTGGAAGTCCAAGGTACAAAACGATTTGATTAGAAGATTTTAATTAGAAATTGATTTCAAATAAAAGTCGCGATCAGGTCATACAAATTACAAGCGCAAATCAGGTGTACATGGAATGTTGGAAAATTTCATCCTTTAATGAAGACGACAGTGAAACAGCATTAAGGATTAATTAAAAATTTCCAAATTTGTAATGTTTTGATTGTATTGGTGTTAAGTGTGCGAAATTCGCGTGATATAAAAGTCGCGACATTTCCTCAAAAACATTAATTGAGTTTTAGAAATTCACCGAGGCACATCAAGTCACTCTCTTAAATTATTTTCAAGAAAATAAAAGTTCAACTTTTCATCGAGCATCAACAATGGATTCATCAAATCAAGATCTTTATTTACCAGTCTTTGTGGAAAACAATGGATCACCAAACGAGAATCCACTCGAACACAGCATTTCAGAGGGAAACAACAATAATCTTCCAGATACAGTCATCGACACTTCATCAGAAGCATCAGAAACGGAACCCAGAAGTTCTGCCTTCATCGACATCACTGGCATTGACAACGACAAGAATTCACCAATTCTCGTGGAAAACATTGAATCATTAAAACTGAAAAAAGTTCAAATTCACAGAACATCGGACTGGAATTCTACAGCCTCGTGCGAACATTGCAGTCATCAACATTTACAAGTAAGTTTTGAAATCATAATAATCGATTGCGAACTCAAATCTAACTTTCTTTCCTTTTCTTTTTCCAGAATTGCTGTTTGTATATTAACGACACTCAAGAAGACTTGGAAGAATATGCAGCGTTCAAGCACGAAATTGACCAGCCCTACTACGTCATGACTGAGAATGAAAACTTCGATTTGGAAATTGGATCATCAACACCGCCATTTTTCCCGTGCTTTTCGAAGGTACCCAAAGATATTCCAGAACATGACAGTCAGCAAGATGATCAACAAGCACAACATTGTGTTTATCAGACTTCAAATATGGCACCAGCGTACGTCCCTCTGCCACATCTTTATGCTCCGACTCCAATCTACATGAACTGCTATCCAATGCCGAACATCCATCCAGGACATGGTTATGTGCCTTTCGATCCAGTAGGAATCATACAACATCAACAATTTGTAAAATTTTTGGCACAATGTCCCACAATTATGAACCCACCAAATTTCTATGTAAATTATTGAAAGATATTTGTAAAAAAAAATTAATTTGTAACATTGTAAAACTGATTTTTGTAAAGCATTTAAACACTTTAATA